GAGATTCTGTCCATCCTCCCCCTCAAAGACCTTAACGCTCACCATGAGCGGCTATGGGCGGGAAAAATCATCCGTCACCGACGGTGGAGTCATGGACGCAGTCGACGTCGGCATCTTCTGCTGCAGGTACTGTAACAGAGCAATTTCATAGCTTATAGACGCCTCTAGGCGCGCTCTGACCTCTTCAGGCCCTTGCGGAGCGAGGTGTTGCATGCCCTCAGAGCCAAGCGCTTTTTAAGCCCGTCCGACATGCCCTGGGGTAAATAGTTGAACTGCTCCATCCTCGCAGAGAGGCAGTCGTAACGACTCATGTGTAGATTGACTACAAGTGCTGTCAAGTGCAGCGAGGCTGCCGTAGCTATTTCGCCTAGAGGAAGCTTTGTTAAGGTCGGCGCCCTTCGTTCTATACTTAGAGCCAGCACGAGTGTAGCGGGTCGCAATCCACTTACTTCAAGAATAACTACTACAACCTTAACCCAAGGCTATTTAACTCTTTGGTTTAAAATTTAAACTGTAATCCTCGGTTTTATTTGCGGCAAAGCCGCCTATATCTAAACCTACAGATTTTCCTATCTATATAGAAAAATCTAATGAAATGTATAAATACTGGCTGTTCCAGCCACGTACTGACTTGTTTTTTGTAGTCACGCGATCTTGTGTAACCCACACCATCGTGTGTGACCCCGTTACAGTTCGTGTGACTCATGTGCTTGCATTAGTGCATGCTCAGCTCTATGACCTCGTTAAGCTTGTTAATGACAAGCTGATCATCGTCATGTGCTCAATGGCGGGAAGACGCAACACTCCCCGCCGACGAAAAGGTATCGAAGTACAAGATTCATACTGCTGCAAGGCTGAATTTGTGCGTGTATCCTCCTTTGGAAGCCGGGCGGTCGTCTGTCACGAGGTGAGGGCAGAGGTGTTTTGTCAGGATTCGGAGGATCACCGAGGCTGTTCTCGTCTGACAACACTGGAATTATTAGAGCTGCTCTGAAGCGGGCATTGAGCCTTTTTTGGAAACTTTCGAACCACTTTAAGGGAGTAGATTTTTACAGCAAGTATGACATGGAGAAAAGGCACAGTAAATCGCAGAGGGTGGTGTTAGATTTCCGGAGTAGTGCTTATTCGTGGATCAGTCAGTTTTCAGCGGGTCCTAAAACAAATAGACAAGTGTGAGCTTCATTGCTCTTCGCAAGGAAAGTATAATGAAGAAAGTACCGTAATCTTTTGTACTTATACTTTACATATTCGGTACAATTGCTCTGATTCACATCTCGCTTTGGTGTAACTGTAAAATACATAAGAGCTGAATAGCGGTATATTTGACGATATCAGAACGTCCAAAATAGAGTCATTCGTGGCTGTTAGCTGCACAAAGACAGTCTTATTGTGAAAAATAAATTGAGATTCAGTTTTAGTAAATAAATTCAAATACATATAACTTCTTATACAGCGGAGCGCACCAGCTCACTAGTTAGAGGTTATCGGATCTACTCGTGGGTGGCGTATAAAATCATTTTTAAGCGGAGTTTTTGAGTTAATGCTTTCTCTGTAATTGCACGGCAAACCCGTTGCAGGTTTCACCTCAATGTAAACATTGTGTACGTACTAACGAAACAATAGTGCTGGTATGAGAAATGTACCGAGCTTACTGTCGATCTCCTTTCTTCATTGATTAATCTCCTTAGAAAGGATACAGAATGGTGTTGGGACACCGAGCATCAGAAGGCTTTTGACAGGGTTAAGGACAGCTTCCTTCATGCACCAATACTGGCATTTCCAGACCCCGCTCGTCCTCTGTGACGCTTCAGACTTTGTCATCGGGTGTGCAGACGCAGAGGGGCGAGATCGGGTGATCGCGCTCGAATCCCGCCAGCTTAAGGCTGCGGAGAGGGACTATCCAGTCCACGGCAAGGAATTACTTGCGGTTGCGTATGCACTTGCCAATTTCAGGGTACACCTACTGGGCATGTGATCTAAAGATCATGCGCCACTACGCACTGCGACTCAGTCGCCTCACCTCTCGCAGAGGATGGTCAGGTGACTCACATTCTTTGCAGAATACAACTTGTATCAGCCAGGAAAGCAGAATGCTTTGGCTGATACGCTGTCATGCAGACCGGACTATGACCATCAGCGTGCCGGAAGAGGTTGTTCTAAATCCGTTTTGTTTTGCGCTCCAAACACGATTTATGTCTCACTTTTCCTGCTATTCTTCTTTTTTTGCCCGATCAGGACACAAATTGTAAAGTATTCTCGCATCGTCGAAGTTGTAGATGCCAGCTAGCACATACTCCTTTGCTGCTGCACAAACGAGCTCGAATCATACCATTTTGATATCTTGTAAAGTATCACATGTCTCATTTACAAATTTTCTCGACAGCTCGAATGGTGGTATATGAAATGATCCCTCCAAATCTAATTTGCCGTTATGACCGCTAACATGCTCGCAAAACTCCGGACATTCCTAGCACTCGTGTGGTGGTACATCTGTCATTTCGTTGCCAGAAATTTGCATGTGCGCGGGCTCAAGCAATCCAGCCAATTCTTTCACAAGGTGGTGATTATAGGTGATGACTTCGCAGCTGGCGTCGGAGACTATATTACTCTGGGTAGCATGGGAGGGGGCATCGCCGGATATCTTAAACATATCGTTGCTCACGACGACAAGGCGAGTAGGCAGCCAGCGCAACAAGCAATGCATCTTTATGATTCAAAGTGTTTCTTAGACCTAAACAGAGAACTTTTGGCGTTTGTCACAGGTTCGTCACAACTGGGCCATTATCAACGCAGGCATACCAGGATCCACAACGGGTGACTGGCTGATGTCGTCCCCTAGGAAGGTGCTAGTATCCCTTCTATTTTGACTATCGGATGTAGCAACAATCTTACTTCTGGTAAGTTAGTACTTCAAAAGCGTCTTTTCTTCCAGAGCAACGGGGGATGCGTCCATCGTGATCATTTTGCTTGGGTCTCTGGAGATCAGGTCAGCAATTATACCTCGAAGTACTAGATAATGTAAACAAGCGCTCAACAAATTGTTGATAGAAATGCAACCACAGCAGCGCACGAAATCAAGAGAAACCTTGTAGAAATTTGTGATACTTTACGAAAGAAAAGAAAGCAGGTGTGTTTGGCCACGACTGCGAGTCCTGACCCAACTGCCAATCAGATAAATAGTGACAGCGCGACTATCAAGTCAGCTCTGGAGCAGTTTTGCAAAAGGTATGCGAAGTTTGAGACCTCGTCGTCCGTGACGTGGTGCTCTACTAACTTAATGACATGCATTGTTGTCGCTCAGCACAACGGAGGAAGAGGCACCTGTTATTCTGGGACCTCGCCTCGACACGTATGCTTTTCGTCGTGAGAGTGCCCTATCGTACGATAAGTACCATTTAAATTCTCAGGTACAGCATGTTCATTAATATGCAGTGCGAGCCAAATTCACCACTGTTTCTGTCCCATGAATTATTTGGATTAACATCTGTAGTCGTATCGACAATTAGCTCGCAACACAGCGAATTTTCTCATCCCCATGATGACGGCTATTGAATGGACCACCTGGAAGGAACAACTCAGCCAAGTCACGTATGACAAGGCATTGTACGATTAGACTTTTAAAGCCGTTACGCTAGCCAAGTTGCTCGATTGGCTAACTTCGAAAAACTGCTGGCTTTTCAAGCACAGCTTAAATTGTGTCATCATCTGTGAATGTGTCACTAATTGAATGGCTGGCTGGTTGTCCTTGTGTTCATCCACCGTCAAATAAAATTAAAGCTTAACAACCCAAAATATACGCGAGAAAAAAAAATAATGCAATTGGGTGTACACCCTCACGAAATCTCAAAAGTCCGTGTTAGTTGCAAAGCGCCACACACGACCTTCATAAATTGTCCAAATTCTGTTCCTCATGTCATTTCTCTACTCATTCGAGCCTTTTGCGATATCAATGACTACAACTTGTCACTCGATAAGACTCACTTCATGGGTGCATCAGGGGGTGCATCAGCTTCCGTCTTAAGGGTGTAATTTTTTTCCTTTTCAAGCGCCGGCTTGGCAGCCCAGTACTCTTCCATCTGACGGTCCAATTGAGCGGCTTTGGGGTCAGGGCCCTTGCCAGCGGTGTGCCAATACTCATCCAATTCCATGTCAAGATCGTCTCCAGTCGGGAGTTTGGCCTTAGCGCTTCCGCGTCCTACCTGACCGACTCGGCCACCTCGGCCACCTCGACCACCTCGACTACCTCGACTACCTCGACCACCCCGGCCTCCATGACCGGCTCCCCTCCCACCTTTTTGCTGATTGGACAAGGTTGAACTCTTCAGCGGCTGGTTTTGATTGCCCTTGACAATCGCTTCCAGCGGTACGAGTCCCTTTCTGCGCTTAGTGACGATCTGCAACCGTTTGTTGCGATTGTTCTGCGCCACTTGTTGAAGCTTTTGCGTTTTCTGATGGATTTGATTCCGCGTAGTAGAAGATAAATTCGCTTTCTTTACCCCACTCGATACACGCACTATGGGCTGGGCCTTGTCTTTTTTCACCTTGACGACCGTTACGTGGTGTTGTTGCTTTCGCGCTTGGAGGGGCGCCGTCTCCTCCGCCAGGCTTGTAAAGCGGCTAGATAGCGGGATGGACGATACACCAACAACAGATCGCGGCATTTTTTTCCCCCGAGAGTGCTGCTGATCAATCGTGCGATGACCGCGCACGGATGCGCGAGGGGCTCCAGCTCGTCGGTACATTAAGCTTAATTTTGAATTTGAGCGACTTTCTTAATATGTCAGCTGAACAATTTTTTTGTCTATGTTGCGGCAAAGTAAAGTTGCACCACGATTTTCTGAAAGCTGGAAAACCGACAAAAATGGCTTCGGCCGTGGAGGTTGCGCTCATCAAGCAAATACAACGTTACCTGGACACTTTTGTTTACGATAACGCACGGTTCTTAGCAGAGCGACTCGTTGCACATGTAAGAGTTGCTTTGCGAGGAGTTGGGGTGCAGTGTATGCTGTGCTACAGCTGTTTAAAAAAAACAAAGGATGGCGCTTTGACCTGTTTTGCTAATTTCGACAGAATCCCAATGAAGAGAACTTGCTGCTGTTAGCCACGTGCTATTTTCGCAAAGGACAAGCGGCTCAGGCAGCTGCAGTACTGAACGGTGCAACTAGCGCCGATAACCGTTACTTGCTGGCATCCTGCTGCTTTCAACTAAACCGACTGATCGAGACCGAGAGTGCGCTGCTGGGAGGTGAAAGTTACCACATTGTCGATCTGGATGCGCTAAAAAATGTGCCGGCAGGAGCGGCTGGATTGTACTTGCTGGGACGAGTGTGCAGACGTGGCAATAGAAGACAACAGGCTATTGCTTGTTTCGTCAGGAGGTGTTGTAGATACAATTTGTGTTTTCAGTTTAAATACTAAATACTGGCTTGTGTGGTCTGTTGGCTCTGCTAGTTTGGAAATGGATCCGTTCATGTGGTCGGCATACGAGGAGTTATGCGAGCTCGGAGCTAATCTGGAGGCCACGCGATTTTTTGGCGCGGCAAATTATTTTAAAAGCTCTGAAATGGTGCATGCGGATGTAGAAAATGACTTACGACCAGAGTTTGGTGACCTTTTGGTAAGAAGTCGACAAGATTTTAGTGATGAAGATGACAATCATCTGGATATTCTCTCGGACGGCAACAAGTTTGCATATCAGGAACCAACACTGCATCTTGGTCTTGATTCGCCAAAAAGCTCAATAAAAAAGGAGGTCAACTCATCCAGGCCATCAATTTACAAGACTCCTAAAACTGAATGCGACAGGCTAAAGTATCCCCACAGAACGACTTTTGTAAAAAAGTCAGTGGTAGAGGACATAAGAGCACCAAGTCGACTGAAAAAATCTCACCGACGGCCCCGTACAGACAGTGATGAAAACTTTCAAGCTAATGCAAGACTGTCGTTTTCCTTTACTGAATTTGACAGTACATTATCGGTAAAGAAGTGGTTGATTTGAAACCAGACACTTCTAGTTGACTAACTTTTGTATTGTTTTTGAAAGAATATTCCCAAAGTATTACAAGGAGAGTCAATATCTGGTCGGCAAACGTGTCAAGTCAAGGAATCAGTAATTGGCTCTACTCGTGACGTAGAATATTTTCACCAAATGGATGGTCGACATGAGCTACTGCGTTTGCTCAATTCGTTTGGCTCTATTTATTATAAACTAAGTTTATATTTGTGTCGCGAAGCTCTTGAGATGCTGGAGCAGCTTCCAGCCACTCAGCGTGCGTCTGGCTGGGCTCAGCAGCATTTTGCTCGTGCATATTTCGAATTGGCCGATTATGTGCAGGCACGTGAGATATATTGTAGCTTATATAGACTATACCCACATCGAATGGAATGTCTCGACTTGTACTCAACAACCCTGTGGCACCTGAAGAAGGAAGTAGAGCTTTCTTATCTTGCTCAACAAGCTACGGATTTTGATAAACTTTCGTGTGAGGCTTGGTGTGTTGCTGGAAATTGTTTTAGCTTGCAAAAAGAACACGACACAGCCTTGACCTTCTTTCAGCGGGTACTTGACGTAATAGGCTGCTGAGATCATTGCACTGATTGACATGTTTTTTGTTGCACACCTAGGCAATCCAATTGAACCCATCATACACATATGCGTACACACTTTCGGGTCACGAATACGTCGCCAATGAGGATTTTGAAAAAGCAGTAAATTGCTATCGGCATGCCATACGAACTGACTCAAGGCATTATAATGCCTGGTACGGCCTGGGTACAATATTTTACCGGCAAGAGAAATTTGAGTACGCTGAATACCATTTCAGGCGTGCGTTGGAGATCAATCCGCGAAGTTCGCTACTGCACTGTTTTCTAGGTATGGTTCAACACGCCACGCATCGATATGATGACGCGCTTGTCACGCTTGAACACGCCGCCGACCTGCAACCATTGAACCCACAAGCTCGATTCCAGCGTGCTAACGTCTTGATCACGCTACAAAGATACCACGAGGCTTTGGAGGAGCTTCACATTGTCAAGAATTTCGCGCCGCGCGAGTCCTCAGTGTACTTTATGATGGGCAAGGTGGCTAAAAAGCTTGGAAATATCGAGGAAGCGATGAAGTTTTTCTGCATGGCACTTCATTTTCATCCAAAGGACAACAACCAGATCAAGGCAGCTATCGACAAAATGAATGAGCCTGATAATGAAGACGACGACGACCGTATATAGAAAATAAGTTTCTAACTTGCATGTATTTGAGATAATATCGCCGGATAAGTGGATTTTTGTATGCCAGCATAATTGTCATGTGCATCTAGTATATTTAACATGGAAACATTTGTAAGAAACGAAGCGCGACTGCTATTGCATCAATTGACGCAGTTTGAGCATGCAAGTCAGGCATTGATTCATCTATTTACGGGATTCTCGCAGCACGATACTATACGCTGCGACATACTGCTTCAGATCTTGCATTGGCAATGCATACCCGCTTCGAGTAGACTTTCGCATGTTTTGGACGACATAGAATTTAGTAATGGCGCTCTTCAGTTGGAAATGCGGAGCGACATGGAGTTGACGGTATTAGGAAAACCCGCACTACATTTTGCCACATCTATTTATGACGAGGACCTCGCCATATTGATTTGGTCAGGGTTCATCCAATTTCGCATTCGCCATCCAGAATTTGACCTGACACGACAAGTTTTTGACAATTCAGCAGATTCGCTCGGTTTTTCGGCATTACACTATGCTGTAGAGGCTCGGATGAACCGCTTTATTCGTGCAGTTTGCAGTGGACTAAAGCAGCACACGACGGAGCTGGTGGCTAGTCGTATAGTCACGCGCGATGTAACACTACCCATCAACACGGCCCAAACCATAGGCAAAAATATTGCAAGTGGAGGGTGCTCGCTACTTCATCTCGCAGCCAAGAAGGGTGATTTAGAGATGGTAAAAGTCTTGGTCGCCCCGCCGATGTGCATGGATCCAAAGACGTTACGCGACTGGGACGACAACTCGCCAGCACGAATGGCAGCGATTTATGGCCATGATGCAGTAGCTGCTTATCTGGAGGTGAAGGCTGATTATTATAGTTGGCGAATCTATATGTTTTGATAGTTGTTGTCGTTGCATGCTTAGAACATAACTGGTGAAGCCCCATTAAGCATCTTAGACGTTGATAATGAGCGGATGAGCCGTGAGAAAAAGGCGACGAAGCGTTTTTTGACACAACTCGAGCCCAACAAATCCATGCTAGAACCCTTCGTGTGTCAAAAAATCTGGACTATCGAAGAAACTATGCTCATTTGTAAGGAGGTGAACCGAGTCGCTGCAAAACAAGGCTGGTGCAAGGAACGGCACACATCATATCAAACGACAGACATGCCATGCCACCAAGTACCAACATTAAGTTCTTGGATCTGCTCGACATTAACTGATAGGATGTTTCCTCAAATCACACAGCGCTACAAACTATCCAGGACGGAGCGTTTATCATTCCGCGATCTCTTTTTCGTCAAGTATGAGGCCCGAAGCGGTGAACGCTCGAATCTCGAGCTTCATCGTGATGGATCCATCTTATCTTTTAACATTTTGCTTAATTCTACAGATGCATTCACTGGAGGCGGCACATATTTCGATTCCACCAAGCGCACGGTGCATATAACCCAAGGTGATTCTGTAGTACACAGCGGAAAAATACTTCACGGTGGAGCACCTGTGCTAACAGGCATACGTCAAATTCTCGTGGGCTTTCTAGACATTGCGGACCGTGTATACTGAGTATTCTTTACAAGCGGTGAAATTGAATACCCTCGATAGGGGTGTCCCCTTCAAGCACGTACAGTCGTGAACACCAGTGCTTCTCATCATACACGTCATTATCGAGAGACATTTGAATGGAAAGTGTTGCTTTAGCCTACATCGCACAGCGTAAGAGAAATCAAAGATGGACCTATGGCTTGTTCATTACATACCCGCTCCAGCTCAAAAAAAAGTAAGCGGTCTTCCCAAATTTTGTCATAAGTATTACCCATCATCTGCGTTACCAAGACAACCTATGAGTCTCATGCCAAATTGTCACATTCGAAGAAAACAAACGCACCGCGATCAATAGATTTAGTAGCATGATGGTGCCAATGACCACAAATGCAACGAAGAAGAAGATTGCAAGTATACCACCTTCGTAGATGCTGTCCCAATCCCACGATCCAAGACTGATGCTGAATGTTGTGGTGACAGCTGAAAAATAGCTTTTGCATCCTTCCAGCTACATGAACCGATTGTTATTATTTGCGCGAAACAGAGCAACAGAAATTAGACATGTCACCTGCAATATAAAAAATGCAAACGCAAATCCTCCTAGGAACACGCAAAACACCATGACGAATACAAAAATATCGGAAAACATCTACATCATATCATTCAAAAACTCACTCATTAGAATGTCTGACAAGTTAGTCGATGTTATATCATACTTTCGCAATCATACGAACAAATGGCCCCAACGCTTTTGTGCCTCGCGCAAATTGAATCCATTTTACAAAAATCTGTGGTCCCACGATGCTCATCAACGTGATGCGAAAATTGTACTTTCGTCGAATCTGATAATTGTATAACGATTCTTGCTGTACGACAAGAGTAAAATCACTGTATTCGAATCCTAAAAATGTATTTGAAAAATGCTTCAATTCAGGTAGCAATACAGGCAGGTAGGCAGTACCTGGAGATACGAACTCGACTATTTCGGCGACCAACAGAAGCCACACGCAGGTAATTTGTACCAAGTCAAACCCAGTCCAGCCGTCTCGAAGGTATACGCGAAGGCTTCCGCACTCTCGGTATGCTTGGTACTACAAAAAAGTTAGTTCAAAGGTATCCGCTATGGGTGTAGCTAGCAAAAGTCAAACAATCGGACATACCTCTTGCAAAGTGTATTTGGCATTAATTACAAAGTAAATTGCTCGAGCCAAGTCACGAATATATTCTATGTGACCGACCTGTCTGGTAAAGATACAATTGCGGTAACCTCCAATCGGCATTCCAACATACGTATCACCAACGTGCAAGTACCTTGAAATCAAGGTATTTTGGACGTTAGCTACAATGCGTTCATAAAATATTTGGAGCGAACATACGTAGCAATGAACACCGCGAGAAAGTATATGAAATACAACTTGAACTCAGACCGAAAGGTCTGTCGCGTGAATGACTCCCATCTAAGCAGAAACATTGTCAGGCAACTATCATCGGAATTTAATTAAAGCATCGTACTTGTGGTCTAACAAATGCCGGAACCAGGGGTGAAAAATCAGATTCTTACACTCTGTCTAATTAATTCGTCCGAGTCATGTAGGCACATGGTCTGGGTACACATAACTACGATCGACGTACCTGAATGATCATCTTGAACGTCGGACAATGGTGACCCCTAAATTCGGCGTGATCGTAAACATATTCGTACAATATTCCTCTCGGCTCGCTAACGATTCCTCCCTTGTATCCAGCTTCAGTTTCAGTCACAGTGAAGACGTGTTGAACACTAAGTACATTTCTCACGCGACGTATCCCTTTCCATACTTTTCTCAAACGGGCGATAATCTGTGCGAGCAAACCCTCTTTACGTGTTCGCCTAGGCGAGCGCCCTCTTTTTTTACCTTTCATTTGTTCAATTAAAGCGTCTCGCTTCTCCTGTGGAGTTTTGAGCTTATTACTAACTGTCCAGCGCTGATTGCGTTCACGTACATGTTTCAGCATACTGCACCGGAATAGTGGAGTCCGAAATGAGTTCATTGCCAGAACGGCAGCTGCTGGAACGTTTTGTATCAAGAGGTGAAATATTTTTCCCTTTTCGTGCATTTTTCTAGCATATTTTATTTCAAATTCAGCCACATGCTCCGAAATAACGAGAATTCCTAGCGAATTTGACGAAAAACTCGAATGCCCTGGCGCCGACCGAAAGAACACAATATCGCGATGACTTTTGGTGCGCAAGAAAGGGGATCTCAACAAAGTGTCCACCGTCGATACCTTGCAGCGATCTGTATCATCGTGCGGAGTGTTCGAATTTTCAACCGAAGCTTCGGGGGATACAGCAGCGCAAGCTCCGGGCAATGTTTGGTGGGTCTTGCCGGTAGTTCCTGCGCGAAAATTTGGCGACGGTAGCAAATGAGCCATCGAATTGCCGGAGGGGGATTCCACAAAGTTTCCTCGCAAAAGTGTTCCATTTGTCGTAGTAATTGTTACATATCGAGATATCCGCACATCAGCATGATTTTCAACAAAATGAAGACAGACACCGTGACGTTGACTTGCTATGGCAAAATGTAGGCTTGATTGATGAGCATAAGTTACAAATTAGCAATCATCATTTGGGGTGTCGTTCAATAAGTATACGTACGGCGTTTCTCCAGCTTTGTTTTGAGAGTTGATGTTAGCCCCGTTCGCCAGTAATAGCTTACACAGTGTGAGATGTCCACCTTCTGCAGCGTAATGCAATGGAGTATTCCCTACTGCATCTTTTGAAAGAACAAGTGGGTGACCGCAAATCTGAAGAAGATCTTGTAAAGTGATAACCTCATCGTGCAATTTATCAATCGAGTCGGAAAATTGAGCAAACGAAACTCCAATCTCAGCTACCAGTGCACGGATATTAGCGTCCGATTCGCTCACTAATTTTTCTGCTTTGCGCATTTCTACCACGAGTTCCAGTAAATGACACAACTGCTTAAAGCTGTACTTTTGATATGGAGAGTCCATTGGGTGTTCATTCCAATGCATTAAAAGTTCTTCAATTAGCTCCGTGTACCCTCGTTGTGCGGCGGCATGCATGACTGTATATCTAAACCAAATAATCATGAATACACATCACACCAAAAAAAGCTCGAAGCACGTACTTGGCTAAGCCGTGCGGCTGCAATAGATCAAGCCCGTCGTTCGCTTCATTTCTCAAAATACGCATAATTTTAGGAAGATTGGGGCCTGCAAGACGAAGAACACCACTTTCAGTGGTCACTGGTCCAGGTATCAATGGTTGACACTGGCAACATTCGTCAAACAAGAGTTTACTTTGTAATGCGAAATGGTGTTCATCCTGCCGTTCGAGCAATTGATGCATCCGATAATATTTTCGCATCGCTCGATTGAGCGCGTTTGCCACCCAACCCTCAGATCGCTGGTGGTGACTCGAATGGGACTGGCCCGTCAAAAGCTTCTTGATGTAATTTCCACGTTGCTGCCTTCGAGTCGGACTTTCCTTGATCCTTTTTGTCCTCAAGTGTTGCAAGTTGTAGTGAGGCTGGCTTCGAGTGGCTTCATGCTTTATAATAAGACGAGAAGAGCGCTTTCGTACATTTTCTAAGATTATCTGCTTGTGCTGCCTCTTTTTTTGAGCTCTCGTCTCCTGTTCATGAAAGTCAGGCAAAATTCCCCAAGCAAGACCTGACTAACTTCATGCCCTACTTTGACATGAGTGCGATAGGCCTGCAGAATTTCATGGCGCATGGTGATAGCATCCTGAACTACAATAGATTCGACACAGCGCTTGCTAGAGTCGGAGGATACCATCGCGACCTAAGAGTAAAAGTTGTGGAAGTTGATCAAACGCTTAAGACTTGAAATTTATCGTTACCCTATCAGCAACTATATCATAATATTTAGTGTGATTATACTATAATGTCTGAAAACGATGCTGGTGTTCTCACGCCCGACGTAATGGACGGCGCGTTTTTCTCGTTCCCATATAAACCTTATCAAATTCAGCTAGATCTAATGCGTCAAATCTGGTCAACACTAGAGAATGGCCATTGTGGTATCTTTGAAAGTCCGACAGGCACGGGTAAGTCCGCCAGTCTAATCTGTGGGGCTCTGACATGGCTTACGATGCACACGGACGAGTTTGGACTTTTGCGAAATGTATCGGAACAGAAGACAAGTAAGAACACGGAGAAGATAGAAAAGTGCGCAGAACCGAGTTGGTTAGACGACTTTCAGCAAAAGACAGTCGATCAAGAGCTCAAATGCCGTCAACAGACAATTAAGGAAGCATTGGCTGGCATCGAGAAACTTCGACTAGAGCCCGAACTCGTCGCAAAAAAGCGTAAGATGAGAGTTTCTTATGGCCACAAGGAGTGCAAGCGAAAACATCAGCATAGCAGCAGACGAGACAGAAAAGAGGACGATAACGATGATGCTGAGTATTTGGTGGATCCGTACGACAGCGATCAAATTGGACAAAATTCGAGTGTCAGTGATGAAAAAGCGAAGAACTTATCGATGCGACATGAGACCGAGAAGAAATCAGACTTTGGGGTGGTCAAGATCATTTACTGCAGCCGCACACATTCTCAAATCTCACAGTTTGTTAAGGAGATTCGAAAGACGACATTTGCTGACCGCGTCCGCGTTATCTCACTGGGTTCTCGCAAAAATTTATGTGTTAATCCAAATGTGAAGGTGCTGAATTCAGATTTACAAATGGCCGATAAGTGCCTGGATATGATGCAAAGTAGCAAGACTAAAGATCACAAAAAGGTGGGTAAATGTCCGTTTTACGATAAAGAGCTGCTTGGCCATTACAAAGATTACGCTCTGGTAAGAAGAATGTGTTGTTATAGAATATTGGATAGTGTTTAAAAGTTGCCGTACGTATTTGACAAAGGCTAACGTAAAAGACATCGAAGACCTGTACACTCTTGGCGAAGATATGTCCATATGCTCTTACTACGGTTCCCGGGAAAGTATCCCGCTTGCGCAAATTGTCACGGCGCCATATTCAATGCTACTAAGCAAAGATGCTCGAGATACTTTAGGCATTTCAGTGGATAACAGTATTGTCATAATCGATGAAGCACACAACATTATTGATGCTATCAATAATACTTATAAGGTGGAAATCACCAGTAAACAGCTTGTGGTGGCGCGACGAACTCTCTGGTCGTATTTTTCAAAATATGAAAAACGGTTCAAGGGCAAGAATGCATTTTACATCAAACAGCTTTTATCAACCTTAGAGTCTTTGACAAAGTTTCTGCGCCAGCTAAACAAGTCTGTGGGAAGAGCCGGTGTGGACAATGATGAAACCAGAGGAGCGCAAATGATGACGATCAACGATTTCTTGTTCAATTCGCGAATTGATCACTTTAACATGTTTAAGATTTTGGAATACCTTAGTGAGAGCGGCCTAGCGAAGAAGCTTACAGGTTTTGTAATTTCCACAAGTACAATTTCACAGAGTGCACATGCACCTTTTGATGACACTGTCGGAGAGTTTGAAAGTCGTCACATTTCGCCACTTCGAACAGTTGAGGCTTTTTTGAAAGCATTAACGAATGCGGATGGCGATGGCCGAATCCTCGCGCGACCACAAAATGTACGTCCTAGAATTGGTTTTTAAATGCGATTACTTATCGTTACATAGGCAAGTATAGGAGAATGTTCACTTCGATTTTTTTTGCTGAATCCTGCCTTCCATTTTCAAGATATCGTGCAAAAAGCACGTAGCGTCATCCTAGCGGGTGGAACTATGCAACCGGTAAAGTTGCGCTATTCAAGTGCATTTGAAGATGCTAGCTTGAATCGAGCTGACGCGTTTCTGAGCGATCTTCCAGGTATCACAAGTCATTGAGCAACTCTTTTCGTCGGTGCCGATCGAGAAAATTGATTTGTTTTCGTGTGGACATGTAATTCCTCCCGAAAATCTCCTAGGCTTCAGCCTTGCATCTGGCCCGTTCCAGAAGCACCTCGAATTTACATATTCGCGACGAGGTGACATGGAAATGCTGGATGAGCTGGGACGCATCCTATTGAATCTCTCGCGCATCGTGCCGGGTGGAGTCGTAGTATTCTTTCCCTCCTATCATTTTGAGGAAGATGCAGTCCGTCGATGGCAAGAAACAACGATGTACGACCAAATTGAAGCAAAAAAATCTATCTTTAAAGAACCTAAGAAATCTGACGAACTAGCTAAGGTACTTTCGCGATATTCAATGGCATGCTCACACAGTGGAAATGGGGCCATGCTATTGAGTGTGGTAGGCGGCAAAATGTCAGAAGGAATAAACTTTAGTGACGAATTAGCCCGATGCGTTGTCATGGTCGGCATGCCGTATCCGAATGCACAAGATGCAGAACTTACTGAAAAAATGGCCTATTTGGACAAAAGCGATTTTGGGGCTGGAAGACAGTTTTATGAAAGTCTTTGTATGAAGGCTGTCAACCAGTCTATTGGTACGTTATTTTATTTAACGTTGACTTGAGCACGCTGCATCTGCTGATGTGATTGTCCATACAGGCAGATCAATTCGTCATCAAAACGATTACTCCACCATTTTGTTAGTTGATAATCGATACTCAAGCCAAGCAGTGCGCTGTCGGCTGCCGAATTGGATACAAGAGCGCATCCAACCACCAGTGTCATTTGGTGAAGTTTACTTCCAGCTTGTTCAATTTTTTCGAACAAAAGAACTTCAAAGTATAGCAGAAAGCAATGAGAATGTGTTATCAGCTTGAAAACGAGATATATTGGCAAATGACAAGCAGTCCCCAGACATTACTGATGTCGACAGTGCAGATATTTGTTGTCAACAGTATTTATTTGCCTAGTAGCTTTTTGTATTCAGCGTGAACAACCTGCTTCGCGATGCCGAGTACTCGCCCTGCTAGCGCTTCATCATCAAATGACCATTCCATATGAATTTCCCATTCAGAAGACACTGAAATTCCGACTGTGCGAAGCTTAAGCCAGCGATCAAGCTTTTCAATAGGGAAATCGAGTATCCAATTGGCCAGACTGGTCTCCAACGATTTAAGTAGTTGCTCTACATTGGCTTGAGGCTGCTGTTCGCTCTCATCGTCTTCATCAGCTGACTCGGTTGCAGCTGAGAGAAGGAAAGACAAGGTAGACGCTGGACGGGTGCACTTCTTTTTGACCCGAGGAGATGGCTCGACCGGTTTTTTCCAAGAGTAAGAAAAAAAGAGAGCATGTTTTTTCTTTTTCAGACGCCGTGCACCGTTGCCATTTGAGACCAGCATCAGCTTGCGCTTGGGTTCGGCAATAAGCATACCCTGTACATCAGAAGGGTTATTGAACATAGTCTTGTGGATTCTGAGCGGAATGTTGCGAAGAGGCTCAATAGGCGTTCGTCCTGCAGAATTAATTCCCTTAACGACCACATCATTGACAGCAGGGTCAATCTTAAGGTAATTCCGGATGTGTGATTTGACGAATTCTAAGTCGTCTGGAACCTTGTAGTCGAGAATAACCTGACGCGGCGCCACTCGTGATACAAGTTGGACAATACTCTTTGCGTCCACTTCATCCCCACACGGCTGGTAGTGCACGCCACACTCGATGTTCACCCCAAGCCGCTTATTAACACGTTTGCGCTCAGGCTCTGCGTACAGCAAATAGTTTATTGTGCCAGGTGTGCAATGCTCGGAAAGTACGATCAAATTTTTCGGGTCGTTCGCCACCGCCTTGATTGCGCGATGTGAATCGCCTTGCGAGATATTTGCAGGTCCCGTGAACAACACAAATGGTCCTGGCTGCTGCAAGTGCTTCCAATCAAACACCTTCAGATCAGCAACATTCGAATTTTTTTTACGAAGAAGGCTCTGAACAGCAGGCGTACAGGTACGTGACAGGACAGGGAGATATCTGCTTGGATACTCCATTGTAACGTCTGATATATAAATTGGACACTTGATAGACTTTCCGGTCACGTCTTGCATGTGTTGCCAGTGCTCCAGCAAGATTGAAAGCAGCTCGTGGAAGTATCCAATGCGGTAAACTGGTATAATCACTTTGCCATCTGAGCTAATACACTCTAGGACGACCTTAACAAGGTCTCTCTCCATGGCACTCTGCGTTTCCGATACTGTCACAGCAAATGAGCTACGTGTGATCATAGTACTAGGTTCCAGTCGAGGAATTTGCGCCGGCAGCAGGACTCGCCCACCCGTGAGATTAAAATCATTAGCAAATAGCACTGTTGTGACTCCGATTTCCAAATAAAAGGCACAACCTCCCACAACATGACCAGAGTGATAAGCTGTAACCTTGAGCTGCTCGCTTACAGCCACGCATGCTTTGAATGCCACTGCTTTGGCCCTCTTGAAGGCCAGAGCAATGTCCTGGATATCATACAGAGCTGGCATGCCGCTGCCTCCGTCCTTCACCTTGCCGTGGCATCCATTCCTAAATCCATTCGACATGCAGTGTTAGATCTAAAACGTACACCGTAAGAGTAGATTATTCGCACCAGTATTCTGCGAGTACATGCGGACCAATGGCTCGAGTGCCATGTGTCATAAGAATGACGGGAGGTTGTTTCTGCCCCGTATCCGAAGCCTTGGCTGTGGACCCGGAGCTCCACGAAACGCCACATTTTTCAGTTATAAAGGGGAGCAAGTTGCAGACCCCAGGGCGATAGTCCGGTATCAAAATGGCGTCCACAGTGCCTCCATCACGTCGAAGAAGATCCTTAAGATCGCGTCGGTACTGTGTTGTCACATTTTCAAATTCCTCGACACTGAAATCTTCTGAAGACGAAAACTTTTCATCTTTCACTTCACCACAGCCTAACAGTACAGTGACACCTGTTACCTCGTCGCGAAGGCAGAAGGCAGCGCCGTTCCCAAGTCGCTCAATTGAAATGTTCATTCTTGTCGACTATTACAACTGAGAGATAGATACATTGGCAAAATCTATCCGCTAACACGTTATTTTCTCGCTGTTTTTTGTAAAACTGGAAGTAGTAGATGCACTATCTTGCTTAGAAGACATACAAACACTAGTACCCGACTGTCAAGCCGACGTTTATGTCAAGACTCATTGACTCCTATCAACGTTGTCAATACATTTGTAAGCCATCCAGTAAACTTATGAAAATACAAAATTTGATACAGTTCGTTTTCCACAAGATGTAAAACTAGCAAATAACTAACCTCCTCGAGTAATCTTGACCGACAGCTATTCACTCTTGCTCAACTCAACACGTAAGGCAAAAAAGACGCTTCTTTTTCATACTCCATCCTCGGCTCCTGTGCTACGGAACTTGCCTCGAGAATTGCTGTGCCACATCGTGTAAATGAAATACTATTATTCCTAAAAGTTTCGTTTTTAAGTTCCAAAGTCTTGGGTCGCACGGACAGACTTTGCAAAGGGGTCGACGCGTTATCAGCTGACTTAAGTTTCTGGCAAGTCTCGCACTTATATACGGACGTGTGATTTCGGTGTCACAAAATAATGAGATATAAAATGGAAGGACTTCACTGGCCTACTAGCCACCCGAAGATGGATCGTACATATCCTTCAGATCCGCATCGCGGTATGACGCGCGACCGGCTCCACCCAATAGCAGAGAAAGTTGTCACATACTGAGCCCCGGCCTCTCTCTATGCTTGACAACTTGAATCTAGCACCATTGTCTGCTAATAGGACCTCTCCGAAGGTATCTTTCTTGCATGTCTGCCGGAAATATTTACAGTGATCCGCCGTGATTCCGCACCAGCTCAAAGTCAGATTGACGCGATTAACGCTGACAGATACATTCTGAAGTTGTATCTCGCGACGAATGACACGTCCTCAGATACAGATGTGAGGTAAGGATGACCATCCCCAGAGAGGCGTAGTCACTCCAGGCTACGAATGATTTGAGCCCAAGAGGTATATTTGAAACACCAAAAGTGCACGAGCTCCTAGTAATAAAGATGGTGGTTCTTTCGACAGCCCACTCCTTATCAACTTTACAATACTGCGCAGCCGGTGGCATTTCCAAGGCGTCAAATACGACACTTAACGACGCTGTCTATCCAAAATGGGAGAGCGTTGCCAAAACGTCATAGTGAGAAGGCATCGTCTTTTCTGACAATTCGAACATTACTAAGCATTATATTTCCAGTATTTCTCTAGTCTAAAACGATTGATGGATCTCGTCTGCACAGATCCCCTTATTGCTCCGAGAGCTCAATCTCCTTCGCGCTAACAGCCAATTGTCAATGTTGACATCCAGCTTCTCCGCTCGCATGATATCAAACAGTTGCCGCAAAAATCGTCTGTGTACCTTCAACCCGACTGTGGATGATTATATGTTTGTTAATCACGAGAGCAAATGATGAAAATTATATTGTTTTTGCAAGTGCGTCACCAAGCAAATACATATCGCTGGGGCATCAGATAGACATTACTTACTACCCACTCCCAGAACATATCGCTCAGGGTACTTAAATGTTGAAGTGGAATGCCTGACTCCCGCACCAGCATTTGATATATATTGTATCCACCACTGTTCATCGGCATCTGGACACAACGCGCCCTTTCTATCAAGGTCTTGCGTGTTCGGTGATATATTCAGCTGATTGAAAGCATGAGCTAGTCGCCACTTTCTGCTCAGTATCCAATCGAAAAAGTAAGCGGGGTGACAATAACGGAAATTTCGGCTTCAGCACCTTACTCATATACGTCGTTCAGGCAAAGTTGGTATATATGTAACACTCCATCCATTCGCAAAGGAAGGCCTTTCTTCGAGACACTGTGTTTTGTGCATCAATCTTGAGTCTTCTGTGGGAATTGAGATGGGTTGTCGTCTACAGACAGATAAGCTACAACGACTTTGTATGCAGCCTAGTTATGATCGATAAAATGTATCCACTCTTGCTATTTAATTCTCTTATCCTCCATGAGCAAAATTCATTGATTTAACACCCACTGTTGTCGCAATATATTTACGAGCAGAAAGATACATGATGTCAATTTGCAGCTGACAAAATTTTTGTTGCCATTTTTCAAATGTATGCCTCCAAAAATGAATTAGTTCTATAAATACATTTAACGAAAAGGATTTTTCTACTTGGTCCTCGTCTAATATCGTAAAGAAAATTGAATAATGACCGTCGAACTTATGGTAACAACTTGTTTGTGGTGTGTGCGTTCCAAGCAAATGCGCCATGCACATGCGGCATGATGCTGAATTGATTTGTTCTTAGATGTAAATTCCTTCGCAGCAAAAGTACTAGACCTGATCAACGCCTAAAATTGTGACAGACACGAATAGGGAGTAATTAAGAAAATACTTTATCAAGATCTCTACATGTCTGCGAGACCTGCAAAAAACGCTAAAACTTTATCAGGCTTCCGGTAAATCTTCTCCATGGTAGCTCGGATTTGAATCTCAACAAGACCCTCCTTCGTAAAGTGTTTGCCCACGACAACACGGTATGGGTAACCAATCAGCTCTGACTCCACAAGCCTCGAACCCGGGCTTTCTCGCAAGCGATCATCGAAGAGCACATCGTCCTTTACGAAACCTGGGACTTTGCCCGATGCCAGCTTGCCAGCAATATCCCATGCAGTTATATATTCGGGATCGTCATACTTCGTTCCACCGATGGACAAAACAATAACTTTGTACGGCGCGATTTCCGTAGGCCAAACGATTCCAAATTTATCATGCGATGCCTCGACCGCCGCAGCTACCAATCGGCTTATTCCAAGGCCAAAGCAGCCCATTTCAAACGGGTACTTGTTTTTTTTAGCATCCCTGTACGTGGCACCAAATGCTTGCGAGTATTTCTGTCCGAGGTAAAACACGTGACCAACCTCAATACCGCGTTTTTCTTCAAGCACTGAAGTTTCGCCGCCTTTGCAACGTGGGCAACGATCACCAGCTTTTGCCAGCCGGAAGTGACCATGAATAACGTGCGTGTGTTTTTGCCGCATTGAAAGCGACTCTGCAGTGGCATATAGAGCTTTCACGGCAACAGAGGCATGCGTAATCAGCTTTAAGGAATCATCCAAGAGCAGATACAGCTCCGAAGTCGGATCATGGTTCAACAGCAGCTTAGCTATCGCTGCTTTGTCCTCAATCACTTTGACTGCATCACCGCCAAAAAAGGGCTTTGCTGCTAGACCATTGACTTCACGATCGTGTCGAACGAAGCAAAGTGCAGTACGAGGTATCGAGTTATTCTTGCTTCTTTCATTACGACTAGTCACACTATCATGGACTTGTGCCTGTTCTTGTAGTAATTTGACGGAAAATCCTCGGGATCCTGCAATCTCTTGAAGCTCCATCACAACTGTCCACAAGTCCTTTTCTCCCGCGCGAACCTTGTTGTCGAGCCGCGCAATGACGTCGCTAAGCTCCGCTGAGACTTCATCACTCCGCCCTATCAATTCTTCGCTCGACACTGGCATAATTCCCTCTGCCTTCTCCACATTAGCTGCATAATCACAGCCTGTCGACGAGCAGGACAGAATCGCATCTTCACCCACATCTGCTAGCACGTGGAACTCGTGCGAGAGATTACCGCCGATATTTCCGGAATCTGCCTCCACGCATTTAGCCGATAGCTTAAGTCTCGAAATTAATATATTTTTATACGCAGTCGTGACAGCCTGGTACGTCTGCAGTGCACCGTCAAACGACGTATCAAACGAGTACATGTCCTTCATTACGAATTCTCTTGCTCGCAACAGGCCGAATCTTGGTCGAATCTCATCACGAAATTTGCGGCCGATCTGGTACAGCCTCAGAGACGCGTGTGATAGTCCTACATTCTTATAGTAGGCGGCCACAAGACTCGTAATACTTTCTTCATGTGTCGGTCCTAATACAAGTTGATCGTTACGTCTATCGTTAAGCGTCATAAGCTCCTGGCCACGATTCTGCCAACGGCCCGATTGCTTCCACAGCTCTTTTGGCGTCAGAATGGTCAGGTCAACACGATTGCCACCAATCTTTTGCATCTCATCATCTATCATTGCTTCGAGCTTAGCAACGACGCGACAACCTAATGGCAACAGCGTGAATAGCCCATGACCGCATTTGCGCACAAACCCAGCACGCAACAGTAACTGGTGACTGGACACTGCAGCATCCGATGGCGCATTTTTTTCTGTTGGAGCCCAAAGAACAGAACGCAAGGCACAAGGTGCTGCTTTTTGGGTGGATCGCAATGTCGACAGTCGCCTTCTTGCTGCTGCTCGACTTGCTCGGTAAGTCCACATTGTGGTAAGCAAGAGTACCAATTTATGGCTACCAAAGCGTAATTTCGAGCGAGAGATGCAATTTTAACATTCCAAAATAAAGGTCTCTGACGCTCAAAGTCATAAAAGTCATAAAACAATAGTTGAAGCGAACCAGTGACTATTCATCTTTGTGCGCGCTTGTTTCAGGAAGGACAACTCACTCGAGAAAGACTCTAACAAGTAAAGGTATGCGTTGTTAAGCGTTGATCGACGTTGAAAAAGAGATTATTAGCTAGCAAAAGTAATCGTATTGACCTGGCACCGACCAATTCATGCTATAAGCGAATGTATGTCGGTTTACTCGAATAAAGATTAGAGAAATGTAAGTCGTTGGCGAGACACGAGCAGTGTTGCCTCGTACATCTAACTTTCTAAGCTGGCGGCGAATGCAACAAAAAGCTGGTTTATTCGAAAATAATAAAAGCAATCTCTGGAATGATTGGGCAGAGCTAAAGTCATTGATTCTAGTATACATACCAGAATGAAAAAGACTGCGATATGATTCCGAAGGCAGCAAAAGAGAAAGAATTGCAATAGACTGTTTTGAATATATACATGCAAAGAGAGAAATCGGTGGAGACTCACTTCTCGTGAGCGCTATAACTTGAGCTCTTGCACTTGATCCGAAGCTTAAAAAACAATGTAATTTACAGACGGCGGTTTAGGGACTGTTAGTGATCAAATTACGGAGACTGAGCTTCAGAAATACAGTACCAATGAGATAGATATGCTTGCATACATGTTAAAAAGAGTTGAGGCCCATCGTGAAGCCAAAAATCCAAGAGTTTTTTTAAGCATTTAAGGATTCATAGCGATTTGAAAAAATCCAGCTTGAGATGTTTTTTTATTTCAAGACTGGTTCAAATTCAGCTTCGTTTTGTAAAGGAAGTCATCAGGCCACCGACGAACTGACCGGTGTTATACAGCCAGAAGACTTCACTCAGCAATAGTTATAAAGCCTTGAGTAGGCATAAAGAGTGTCCTTGAGTAGGACACTCTTTATGCGAAGAGACAGAAGCTTATAATATGCAATGGAACTTTAAGATCACAGATGTCCAACTTAAGGGGGGCTGAAGCTAATGTATGGTCTTGTACTGAGTCTAACAATATTTACACTTAATTGATTGACAAAGAAACGTCTGAGAAGCGATTTTCTCCTTAGCATTCGTCTTGCAGTTTATGAGATCGCAACCTTGCATCATACAAAGTTCATGACCTGTTTGTTGCATCATAAGTAGCTTAACGCAGCCATACTTGTACTGCATTGGTCGACACAAAATTCTTGTCGTCCGATGCCAAGCACCACACATACACTTGTAGACCGTAGCCTTATGGCTACACTGCGCAGATGTTTAAAATTTAGCACTTATTGCAAACGAGTCGACAATAAGTCGGCTGGTAATGTTCAAGCGAGGAAGCTGCGACTTCGCTTCGTAATCCGTTCCTACTGAAGCAATAAAGCTTCTCTAAATTTCAACTGACTTCGCACAAAAATGATCAACATCTTCGCAATTGGTAATAAATGTGATGTATTGCAAAATAAAATGACGAAAATGCAAAGAACAACGAGGCACCCTTGCAGACAACCGTGCTTTGGGTCGAGAATAGATTGCTCTGCACTTGTGTTAAAGCGGTAGATTGCTAGCCGGTCACACAGAAAAATTAGCGTGTGGGCGACAGTGCGATTTTTGTCTCATGTCGCCAACCTGCTGACTTCCTAAATGTTCGGATTCAGTGCAGCGGAAGGAGTGAAGTAGCAATTTTGATCTGGTTAATGAAGACACAGATGACATTGAGCTACGTCGACAAAAGCAAATCAAGTGCCTCATTATTCATAATACAAGTTTCGTGATCGGCCACTGCCACCAAATGGCACCTGAATATGAATGTCCTATACATAATGCTGCTGAAAACTCTTAAATGAAAACTGAATGAGTATCAGCGCTAGGGATAAAAGCAATATTTTTTTTGTGTGCCCAAAATGCTAACATTCTCGATGAAGATTATCATCGAAGACGAAAAAAGCTCAAGCTGGACAGCACATATCATCTGTAGAGACGTGCTATCCTCATGATAAGTAAGCAAGCTTGTATATAAGTGGTGGGAAATATTTTGCATGATCAACAAATGTCGTTGATACCGATTGCTTTGCTGGTTCTAGAATTCGGCATTTGAAAAACGCTGAACCATCACAAGGTTTCTTACATTTCTATAACTTTATTCATCCAACAATCTGCATCTTAGCGTAGAGTGGTGCACGCAGGTTCAAAATGTAAAGGATTGGTAAGACATCCCTCCGGTTTAAGCGATGTTCACTTGTTCATGTGTGAAGCTTCGAGAGCGAATGAGAAATCAGTAAGAGTTCGTTGCAATCAATTTTTCGCTCAACACTGCTTTATATATCATTCCATGTAACTGATCCCTTGGAAAATGTTGGATACCACTATGGTCCCAAAAGTTTTTATACAGTGCCTTTATTCAGCTCTCAATTGGAGAAATTGAGCATTGTCATATGTTCGCCTCCAAATTTCCTTGTAATAACTCTTCGATGGCTATAAAATATTTGACAGAGTATTGACAGAACAATAGGTATATCATTTTCTTCAGCGACTTGCGTATAAAATAGAATAAATCGTTTGACCAGAAGATCCAATGCTTTTATGTATATATCGCATAGTCATCACATAATAACTGCACTGTTTGTTCAAGGCAACAAAACCCGTACTTTAAAAAAATTTCATAATATAGGTGACGAGTCGACATAACCCAGTCACCAACGCAATGGCTTCCGGCTGGCACCCCAGAAGCTCCAAAGCAAATCGTCGTTCGTGGAGATCTCCATCTCCACCTCCGCTTTTGGACGAGACTGCTCCTAAAGTTAGCAAGCGCTCGTACTTTTCACGTCACAACAAACGCTCCAACCACCAAGCGCAAGAATCGGTGCACAACACAGAGCTCGAAGTTGATGAGATAGCCGAGCAACGCGACCGTGACGCACACCGTAGTGTTTTAGCTACGATGTTTCGAGCTCGCACAAGGTCGCGCACGTTGCGATCATCGTCAGAAGCTACAGAGACATTACAGACACTTGTGCAGCGAGAGAAAGCCTTTCGACTCGTGCGTCATGGTTCTGACCCGCTTTTGAATGACGCTTTTTATGCATCTCAAGTGCAAGTTGGAAATTTTGTGAAGATGGGTTGGCTTAAAAAGCAGGGTCACATGTGGAAGAGTTGGAAAGCACGCTTTTTCGTTTTATTCTCCGATGGCACGGTCGTGTACTATAAGAACAAGAGCAGAAAGAAAATAAAAGGCTATATGCATTTAAATGACGGAGTTGTATCTGTGCAACATGTGGATATTCGAGTAGCTGGCAAGGCTTATGTATTCCAGATTGAAAAGGGATTTTACCGATTATTGTGCCATTGCTCTAGTCAGATTGACGCCGAATTATGGGTTACAGCCTTGCGATCTGTACGTAAAGTCGCACCGCCGTGCTTTGAGATGAATTTAACTGCGAGAGAGGAAAAGGCAGGATTTAATTCTGTCACGAGGCACTTAAACAAGATCTTTATTACAGACAAAGACTTGGCTAAAATGTTGATTGATTTTAAAGAGCACGAGCACAATCACTCGTACGTAAAAATACACAACTGTATTGTCGAACTAGATGATGCAATAATTGATCGACACCATTTGGCGCTCTATCAAGACCCTGAAATCGAATTGTTACCGGGAAATGAGCTTGTGCGAATCATTCGGCGACATGTCGAAGATCGTGTGTTTATTCCTTTGTATGCAGAGGCGTACGCAAGCTTAGAGACGGAGCAAGTGAGGCAGTCACGCAGCAACGTGGAGCAGAATATCAAAGTATTGAAGCAAAAAGCGCAAGCAGATTTTGGTATTTCTAAAGACCTGTCAATTTGCGACTGGAAGCATGCCATTAGCGTGATCAATATGCTCGACTGTGTCTCACTTCCCACGCACAAATTTGAGGTCATTTTGACAGCGGGAAAAGCCATCGCGGAGGCAATAGCGCAGTATCATGGAGAACATTTTGAGGTCACAGACGAGACTTTGACGGCAGTATTTCGCTATGTCATTACGATGTCCTCGCTCCGCGACCTGCCGATCCTTCGTGCGCTGCTCAAATATGGATTCCATCATCACCCGGCCTGTCAAAACAAGACAAATCTGGTGATAGCTTTTCTCGATGCAGTCAAATGGATTGAATGCTCACAGTCAAGAGACATAAGCTACCGATTTGACTCGATGGCCTTCGCTGGATCTCGAGTTTCAGTTTCATTTTCAACTAATGATCTTGGCATTCAGTTCACAACGGATGGAAATGGCCGGGGAGCTATCGTGTACAGTGTCCGAAAGCAGTCACAAGCAGCATTGAGCGCCGCTATCGTGTCTGGCTTGTCGCTTATTGCGATTAATCATGAACCCGTGATCGGCATGCCGTTTGACAAAGTTATACAACGCTTACGGACCGCCAAGCTGCCAAAACAACTTACTTTTATGACAGAGTTTTACTATTATCAGCTATTGTCATTAGACATGGAGATGTTTCGCTATTTGATGTGTATTGCAGCACGCCGTGGAGATTTGGACTCGGCTGGATGGCTGCGCTGTTTTTCCAAGGATGTAAATACCTTGTGCTCGTGGGAAAAGTCTCGGGGTAAACAGGTATTTGGATTCATTCCGGTATCCGGTAAAGAGTCCCCGCTTCACGCAGCGGTGCACAACGGACATCTCAAAATGGTCAATTACTTTATATCAATAGGGGCGGATGCTAATTTATGCAATGAAAAAGGCAGACGGCCACTGCATGTTGTAAAGCAGTCGGTAGATATGGCAAGGATTATTGAACGCTTAATCGATGCAGGAGCGCATATCGATGCAACAGAAAAGAATGGGCTGACTCCGTTAATGTTCATGTGCGCGAGGGGATCTCTTGAAGGGACGGCAACTTTGTTAGCTTTAGGAGCAGATGTCCGTCGTGTGGCTTGGTCGAATGGCTTTTCGGCTCTAGAGCTTGCTGTGAAGAGTGGGCGTCCAGAGGTTGTCGAATTTTGTCTTTCAAAGGGTGCAAACCCGAATGCGCCTACATTAAATGGAAATACGAGTTTGCATTTGGCTGCCGCTCTGGCTCACTCAGGCATTATAATTCTGCTTTTGCAGAAAGGGGCCAATCCAAACGTTCAGAACCGATACGGACAGACTCCAGCGAATGTTTTGCTTACATCGGATCCCAAAGAACGTGGTGATGCCTACGCGATGTGTCTAGAAATATTGAAGTGTTCTAGCAGTCGCTTTGACCATCGAGATGTTTTCGACTTCCAAGCTGCTCAGCTCACAACCATCTCACGAAAATCGAACGATGTAATAGAAAAATTCGGATCACATAGTCGAGGAGTAGAAGACCTTGATGTTGATATCTTCAGTCGTTCATCAGTCGATTACGTACAACGCATCGAATCTTCAAGTTCGCAATCGGACAAGGACAAACACGCTTCACGACTTGCGCGCTTGATTTCTGTAGAGGATTTGATTCAAGAAGTGGTGATCGGTTTTGAAGTTGACCTGGTCGACGTAATCGCTTTTGTGCTGTTTCTGGATAGCTTTACAAGTCTTGACGAAGTGGTGAATCGACTGAAGGAACATATTAGGAGTGGAATGGAAAGTAAGTACAGGAGCGGCAGTCGTGATACTTATTCAAACTGAGAAAAATATGTTTATAATCTTTACGTGATTCTGTAGGTCATGGACTTATACGACTCTTTATCATAATCATGTTGCTCAGAGAGCTCGAAGCGAAAAAAGCTGGTGATTTGCGCGAACGTTTTCACAATTTAATAGGACAGACTGTCGATCTCTCGATGCAGAAGCTGGTGCCTTTGATTGATGATTGCATCACGCTTTACAGAAATTACTTTTCGCTTCATGGAGCTGGTAATTATGCGCTTAATTACGAAAGAATACCGAAAATGATGACAAAGCTGTATGGGTCAAAAGCTGGTATTGAAGCTGCATCACACGAGCCTTTTTCAAATAATCTGCACCGGTTAATTAAAGCTTTTTCAAGCTCGCGTTGCTTGTGTTACTAATCGAAAACTGCATACACATGTTTGTTACAGGAACATCGACGCAGAGCGGTGGGCTCAACAGTGCACACTGCTGACACACGCTATCTTTTGCAAAATTTCAGGCAAATAGCATTGATATGTTTTCACATTTAAACAGACTGTGTATTGATCTGTGCGGCATGTGCTGTAGTGCAAGATTTGGTTTCGCTCGGTTTGACAAAAACGCATTCTTCCGAATTTACCTGCATTAAACGATGGTTTCAACATGTACGAGGCTACATCGCGCAGATTATGAGGTGGATCGACCACTTATGCTCACAACTTTCTTCTGCTCGTGCCTTGTATAGATCTCTGCATATGTAATTTGCGCTGTACTTGTCCAAGATACCCCTGAAGAACGTGCAAAAGTAATAACATTTTATCTGAAGGTACTAATGCTAAAATGTGTACATGGCCCACCGCGTGGTATTCATTACTTCTATAAACATCAGGCCGCGGACTATTGTTTGTCATTCCACAACCTCGATACGCTGGCTGCAATTTTATATGCACTACAATCGACTGCTGTACAGCGGCTTTGGAAGACAATTGACTGTGTACGTCTGGTGATTTTAAATGTGCAGCTTTGTTAATGAACTCACGTAGTATTTTATCCGTGACTGGCAGCTAAGTGTCGCTGCAAAGAAAAAGATGAACGAGATGCAATTGCTCTCCGACAAAGGATGTCGCGAGATGAATCGACTTATGCGAATAGTTGCAAATCCAAGTATGCCTTACATTGGACTATATCTTCAGGTGGATGCCTTACTAGTCTATAATTATCTGTGATCTAAACTCACTTCTGACGAAAATCGTAGAATTACGTTGGCTTAAACGAGCTGCCTGCGTCTGACAAAAACGGTTTGATAAATGCAAGCCGGCTTCGCAGAATGGGCGAATTGGCAACAGAAATTATGCATCGACAGTCTGTTGCCTACACTCTTACACATGACGAATGTGTTGATGTAAGTTTGCACCTCGATGTTATGTCAGGGCATAATATTCGATTTCATTCTGCTGATTGACTTGTATTTTATCATATATAGAAATTGCTGCACGTCCCATTGCCATTTGCTTCTGAAGAAAGTCGTTACGCTCGATCGTTGAAGCTAGAACCTCGTGAAGCAGATGCGATGCCATTAAGCGAGCGCGGATCATGTGTTGTCGATGATGATCTGGATTTGGAAGTTGAAGTGCGAGAGTCAATTGGAGCTGATGGAACATTCGGATTTCGCCAGTGGATTCGAAAACAACAAGTTGTGCACAGAAATCGCTCAAGATCATCGCTGATTGCTTTGTACGAGTGGGTGTAGCTGTTAGTGAGTCAGTCATAACTTATCTATGCGTTGTAAATTTCCACTCATGGGACGAGAAAAATATGCCCCATTTGTATGGAAAACTAAAAACATATTCCAACTAAAATATTATATTAAATTGCTTACTTTACGAATGTCAGGGTTAGTCCAATAAATGAGTATCTACTTTAACTCTTTTCTCCTGGTCAGCGCTCAAATTTCGCGCTGACCTTAATACCGATCGGTTTAGGGCGCAATCAGAATCTATCAGTACGCGAAGTACGTACCCTGCTGTGGTGGTTGTACATAGTAAATATTACTCGATCGAAGCTCACATGAAAAAAGGATTATAACCGGACTAGTTTAGTAAACCTCTGGAGTTGCACCTTGCACATTTAGTACAATCTGAACAATTGCAAGTAATTGTAGATACCGAAGTATCAGAACTTTCTTAGATGGCCGAATCCCGAAAGGAGGGGTCTGTGGTATACATGGGCGGTAGCCGCACATCATACAGTAAAGATCTCTATCACGAGAGATGGTAAAACGAATACTGGGCATATATTTAATCAGCATTAATCCTTTACCAATTTTCGCGTGAAGAAGCAAAGCTATTAAGAGGAATTGTTATGGTAAAGACTTTCCATTTGCTACTGGTAGAACATGCGAGCCCGATTTCTATACGTCTCTTTACGCAGAGTCTTGGAGGTAAAACTTTCTTTGTGCAAAGTTAGTTCGGGCCAATTCCACGATCGAGTCACGATTAGACTATATCCCCTGCGAGGATGAAACATGAGGTGTTCCAGTACATGTATACGGGACAACTAGACATATTTTATTAGCTTATATCTGTCACTGGTCCGAACGAGATCAGCGAGCTCGCAGCCAAAGGGGCAAGTTGCATTGAAACTCTTTTCAGCTTAAAACATAACCAGAACGCTCGAACGGGGTGCAGGCGACAATGGCACCTCGCCTAGACTTTGAGGGTATGGACATAAAAAATCTTTATTTGGATGAGGGAGGTTGAGATGGCTATGACTCAAACAGAGCTACAGCACGTTGCGCTTTCAGTCTGCAAGCTATAGGGTCACAACAGATTGAGCATCAAAAACAAAATCTCGCGCTTCCTTCATGGTAAAGTGTAAGCGACATATGTTGCCAAAGTTTGCATTGCCTTTACATGACGTATCCGGTACTTCCGAAGTTCTTGTCCGACATTAAAGGAGTAGACTATGGACACGTGTTGTAAAATCTAATTGCTGCAATATAATGAGATCCTCTTCCAAAAGCTGTTACATGGTACCTTGGCTGTTATCCTTTGCCTCCGACTTACTCACATAGCTCCACACCAGGCACTAAATAAAGAGTCAGCATTCAATGGGACCCCTCCTCACCGCTTCACTAAAAGAGTAGCGTCGACGTGGTACATCTCGGTGAGAACCACAGCCGTTCAAAGACCGTCCATTAAGCTGCTGAGATATGATGGGGGTCACTTAGTTGCTAAGAAGCCCCAATTGCTTAAAGCATCTGTTCCTTGCGTGCCCCTTTTTGCTCTTGGCTGAGAGGTGTATGGGTCGGGGTCCGACGCAAGGGCACCCCACGCACCCTTTAAGTGGTACAATCATCGTGAGGCGGTCTCCTGGGGTAAAGCTAGTTTCGATTGTATCTTGTGGAGATCGTGGTCAATAGGTTTTTGTCATGAAAAAAGGGACTTCTAAATGAATGATGGGACAAGCATCCTAGCGAAGTTGACTATCAACATCGGCAATTTAAGCATTGTGAAACCGTGAGAAATTCTGATAGGATCAGAGACGTCGCGCAATTACGTCCGACTAGCTACCGTCCAAAGCATAGCCTGTCCACGGAGAAATTCAGGAAGCCGAAAAGAATTATATTTTCTGTTTTCCTAAGAGACCTTGGTAAAAGTGTCGAAGGTTCTCATGAACCTTGGAATGAAGGCTGAGGCTTTGAAAAGTTGACCGTTATCGCGTTTCAAACCTGGATTTTGAATGAATCATTCCTTGGTATGGCGCGATTGAAATTTCGAGGGCCGGGTGTTAAATCCCTGCTGAAACATTAAAAGAGTCAGAAGAACCTCTGTCATATACCAGACGTGCTTCGCGCAGGAACAGCACTACGTTTGCTTTCGTGTAGGAATTGGTTTTGTATTGATAGCAACAGTATTGGTCGGTCATCGAGCAAAAATCGGATGGCAGAAGCAGCAGTATGTTGAGGTCTCAGAGAAAACTAGATGAGGAGTTGAGCACGTTATCCATCACTATAAAATCTGTCATTGAGATCACTCACAGAGCACTAAGTACGAGAAGTGAAACAATGTCCTCGAGGATCCTACGGATCCTATAAATTCTTTGTTAAGGTATACTGCAATTTGGCGACAAACAATCCCTCACCCGTAGTTCCAACGGACAATGGTGTGCCCCGTAAAGCGGACTTCGTACCCGGACTAGATGATACTTGACACGACAATGGCATTTACCAAGGAACATTGGTATATAATTGATACTATTATTCTTGTGAGCAAAATACACAATGGATAGATAAAATTTATCTACACATCCGATGACGATTGTCTGTGTTGGAAGTATTGCTGATTTTGAATGCTTATAGTAAGCTTAATGCAGACGTAATTCCTGCGCAAACGAAGGTTTTAAAACGGTGTGCTTTAAACAGCATGGTCTGCTGCACGTTTCAGTATCTTTTGATCAAATTCATAGTTACTATTAACTGCTAACGGGAGATAGCAATTTTCCTCTCACTTCAGTGAGTTCTTAAATTGGAAGGCCCTGCAAGTGGCTATATATACCACAGCGTTTCTATAGTGTACTTGTAACGTTCATTCGTCTGGGGCATAGATGCTTAGGCCGCATGTGGCTATGCGCTAACCTCTATCAACAACATTTCCATTCATACTCGTGCAGAACACGAAAAGTCGGATGCGGAGAACCCCATTACAAACCTGATAACGGATCTCGCTTGTATGCGCATAATTATGCCATTGGCCAATTTGTCAGATTCCATTCTAGGTTGCTTATTTATGGCAGAGCCAGCAACCAGCCCGCAAACACAAATGCTATTGCAAAATGGTGAAAAATCTTTGACTTGGACTGGCCAAAAATTTGCTCAAGTATAGTGCAAGCTAAACCGGCATGGCGGCAATTGTATCGGGGTACACGTACCCTGGTATAAAGGGGTGGGTCACATAAGATAGTGTGATCACGCAATGGTTTGGCTACACCGTAACAAGAAGCCCCTACATGGCTGGACCGGCATGCTAATTAGGTCTTCATGTTCGATGAGGAACCCCTATAGATTAAGATATCGGCGGCTTTGCCGCAAATAAAATAAAAGAAATCAAGCTTACATTTTGAGCAGAAGATTATATTTGCCTTGGGCGAAGGTTGTGGGTACTCTTGGAGTAAGCGGATTTGGATTCGCTACTCTCGTACTGATTCTTGCAAAAAACGTAAGGTCGGTAACCTCAGCTTAGCTTCCTCTAAGCAAAGAGCTACGGTAGCCCCACCGCAGTGACCATTGTGGCATGCGATAATTTAAAGCCTGAGCGACGCGAAAGCGCATCCGCCATCAACTTCAGCCGACCCAACTTATATCTTGCCACCCGGTATAGAAGGATAGCCATATTGCCTTTTATGGTGAAAGATGTAGTGACAGTGCCGCTGTGCGCAACTGTCAGAAAATGACCTTGCAACTGTTGTATTTAAGGTTATAGTGTGGAGGCCAGCTCTGATTAACGGTTAAACTCCTTCAGAGGCAAAGTGCAATTACACGATGTTAATGCTATACTGTGGGGTCCCATGCAAAGCTCACGTCCCCTCACGCTATTTTACCGCACATGGAGAAAATTTTCATACCTTTTACAGAAGAAACACGAGCTCAATCATCGTTTAACTTATTTTATTCGATAAATTGTATCATATATTCATACGCAAAGAAATTAAAATACCTGTTATTGTATTGTATATAGGATGATTCAATACAATCAGAATAGCTATTAAATCAGCAAATATGTTGGAAACAAATATCAAAACTTTGAAGGATAAATAAAGCTGGCAATTAATAGTACTGCTCATGTTATTGTTTAACTAAATTTCAAGCTAGTGATATGGATAAATAAAAAAAAATATTGGGATTATAAAAGGTATGACCTTAACGCTTGAGCCAGATGCTTTAGATATGGCTGTTTTCAGTAATGATAGGAACACTCAGAATCTAATGTCATAAAACGACATTCAGTTTTCCGGGTGAATATGTATTACAGTGATTGGAGAGCCGATTATCGCCAAGATCTAGGAAATTTTTTGATGGATAGAAATTAAAATTGCATAAAACGGTGAAAAATATGAGACTTGAGCAATATGTTAAGGTTTAATGTGATTACCTGGATGACCTCAAGACTGTGTAAAATAAACTATAAATATTCAAAGTGTACCAAAGCCAGATTTTTGTTATAAATAATAAATGTAATATTCACAAATTACCTGCTACATCAGGTAATCTTTATAAGGTTTTTGGTTCACCAGGCTGTGTATCCACATGACCTACCAAATATAATCTGATTTATTCAGACCAATTAACTACGTCTGTAATCATATCTGTAACCATGACTCTCATCGTACGTATTATCGTAATCTTAATGAGTCCCGTACATGATCGAGTAGCATCGTCATACCAACTCAACACGTCGCTAATGATGTGTATGATTGAGCTCTGGCTTTGTCTCGATACCTGTTATTTCGAGTAGAAACTCGAGCATCTTGGTTCCGAGTGTCTTGGTAAGCATATCCGCATTTTGGCTCTTCATGTGGTTTTAACAATCCCGTTTACAGCGTTTTCTCTCGTGAAGTAATACTTTATGTCAACATGCTTGGTTCTCGCAAGAATACCAGCTTTCTGTGCCATTGCTATTGTCCCTGGATTGTTTTCCAGGATTTGGGTAGCAGATTCTTGGCCCATGCCCATGTCCTTTAACATCGCGCGCC